CCTGTTGATGCACAGATGTCTTATTGATGCACAGATTGCCTGTTGATGCACAGGTTGCCTGTTGATACATAGACTTCCTGTTGATATACAGATTGCCTGTTGATGCACAGATTTACCGTTGATGCACAGACGCCTTGTTGATGCACAGCTGTCTTATTGATGCACAGATTGCCTGTTGATGCATAGATTTCCTGTTGATGCACAGACGTCCTGTTGATACACAGATTGCCTGTTGATGCACAGATTTACTGTTGATGCACAGACGTCCCATTGATGCACAGATTGCTCTTTAATGTACAGATTGCCTGTTGATGTACATAATGCCTCTTTGAGTCACAGATTTCTTGTTGATGCACAGATTGCATGCTGACACACATATTGCCTCTTTGATGTACATATTGCCTGTTGATGTGCAGATTGCCTGTTACTGCACAGATTGCTTGTTGAGGCACACATTGCCTGTTGTTGCTTAGCTGTTCATGCTGATTGACTCAAAGTCACAGTGAGTGTGGTTTGCTTGAATCAGTGCTGTGGAAATTAACAGAAAATGAGAAAACGACTAAAGAGGCATTTTCCGAGCCGTGCCAGAACCCACCTTCTTTCTGGCTGCCAGCAGCAGCTGACAGGTTCTGTTGGGTCAGCAGGTTTTGGTTGTACAGGCTGGGCAGAGCTGCAGCTGCATACTGCTGCATCCCTGAGTATGCCTGACTCAGAGCCTCCATCGTGTTTCCGGAACCGCTCGATGTCAGGCTGCCAGTCAGCGCTGCCACACCTGCATCACAACCAGGACAACAACCAGAAACAGACCTGCTTACTGAAAGTTGATGAGGACACGAACACAGAACCAACAACTAGAATTCAGACTGTTTACTTGAGCTGTTTGCTGTTTACCTGAGCTGGTCAATGCACTAAGTGAATTATTCGACGTCATCATGGAGGTGGAACCTGAAGATGTTCCTTGTGTTGCTGCTGCAGCTAAAGCAGACAGGTTCTGCATGGAGGTGAGACCTGAAACACAGACAGGTTCAACAGCAGAATGTGCACACCTTGACTTCTAATGCGTCACCTCCACAAAGTGTGTGTGTGTGTGTGTGGGGTGGGGGGGGGGGGGTACCTGAAGCTGGGTGCAGATTGTTCAGTGTGTTTCCGGTGAGCGTTGCCTGCTGCAGTAACTGTAGGTACAGCTGAAACCGACAGCAGGATGAAATGGATTAAAAAGTGAGCTGTCAGATTCTTTTGTTCTGAAAGAACACAGATTAACGCTGAGATGAACTCACGGCGAGATAATGCGGGCCCAGGCTGTTGAACCCACAGAGACTCCCCCACATTGAAGAAGCACTGAGCTGCTGAAGCTGCTGCTGCAGCTGCTGAGCGAGGCGTTTCTGTTCTTTGTCCTTTTGGGTGTCAGCAAACTTCACCACAATGGGGGATGAGCAGCCCTGAGCTCAGAAAACACAGGATATCAGTGGATTTCAAGTTGTTTAAAGTAAGAATCACACAGAAGCCAATAAATTAAGGTCCTGGTGACACAGAATGTTTCATAAAGCTTTTTCCTTCTATTTATTAACCTGATGGCATTTTTTTACAACAAAACAAAGAAATGTACCTGTTTTTAAATGAAATAATCCTGATCTATGTTCAGTGTTGGTGTTACCTCCATGGTCTGACTCTGATGCATGGACCTGATGGCTGACTGGGCCATCTGTCGAGCTGTGAACGTTACAAATGCACATCCTGAAAGGAAAAAAAATCACACGAAACCTCAACATTTTTTATTTGTTTTCAGTTTCTAATGAATGGAGGCAATCCAGTTTAAGATGGTGCCAATGCTAATCTCCATACGCAAAAATGGCTAAATCTCTGTAATTTTTACAAATATTATATAAAATGTAAAAAATCCTGAAGACCTTGTACTCTGCCCACAAACACAATCAATTCGTTTTCAGTTTTGTTTAAAATACAATCCTCATGATTTTACCACGGCTGAGTCCGTCAGAGCCTCGAAGAATCCGACACTCTTCGATCTGTCCGAACGGAGAGAACATCAGGCGGATGTCGTTTTCATTACACTTCTTAGAGATCATTCCAATGAAGAGCTTCCTGTCCTCCACTGCTGCACACAACACAACACCAAACTGTACATGATGGATGACTGAACAGCTCTAGAAACATAAATCATAAAAATCGTATTAAAATATAGCCTTTAATAATTTAATAGACTACTGGTTTTACCCAAAACTCCCTGGTTCAAACCCCGGTCCAGGGGCCTTCTGGATGGAGTTTGCATGTTCTCTCTGTGCATGCGTGGGTTTTCTCCGGGTACTCCGGTTTCCTCCCACAGACCAAAAACATGCATGTTAGGCTGATTGGTAACTAAATTGTCCCTAGGTGTGAGTGAGAGAGTGAACGGTTGTTTGTCTCGTTTGTCTCTATGTGGCCCTGTGATGGACTTGCGACCTGTCTTGAATATACATAATATTGGTTTTACAGCAATGGCTCTAAAGTGGTTTAATTCATATTTATTTAATAGATTCCAGTTTATAAATACAAAGTATAAATAATGAATCTTCTTCATACACCAAATTTTGTCATGGAGTTCCTCAGGGTTCAGTGCTTGGAAAATTTTCATTCATTCAACCTTTATTTAGACAGGTAAATCCCATTGAGCCTCGAGGACACATTTACAAGAGAGACCTGATTTCAACAAAGAAAGATGACAACAATGGACAACAGCAACAACAATAAACAATTATAAAAAGTAATAGTAAAAATACTTTACTTGCTTCCATTAGGTAAAGTTATTAAACAGCATGGGATAAGTTTTCATTGTTATGCTGATGATACTCTGTTATATTTTTCCATGAAATCCAATTAATTCAGTCAGTTTCTTAGATTACAAGCATGTCTTAAAGACATAAAAGCCAGGAGGACCTTTAAACGTCTGCTTTTAAACTCAAACAAAGGATTTGGTTTTTGGATCTGATCTTAGGAATCAATTTTGCAGTCTTTCACTTCCTCTGGATAGCATTAATTTGGTCTCCATTTCTAATGTTAAAAACCTTGGTGTTATTTTTAATCAGGATATGTCTTTTAAACCACACATTAAAAAAGTTCCCAGGACCGCTTTCCTTCACCTGTGTAATATCACTAAGATTAGAAACTTCATGTCTAAAAATTATACAGAAAAACTGATCTATGCATTTATCATGTGTAGGTTGGACTATTACAATTGCTTATTATCTGGGTGTCCAAAAACTTCTTTAAAAAGTCTTCAGATGATTCAAAATGCTGCTGCCAGAGTTTTAATGAGAGTTGGTAGGAAAGATCATATTTCTCCAGTTGTATCTTCTCGCCATTGTCTCCCTGTCATATTCAGAATAGAATTCAAAATCTTATTTCTAACATATAAAGCTCTCAACAACCTAGCTCCATCTTATATTGCAGATCTTATTGTTACATATTTTCCTAACAGAGCACTTCACTCTCAGACTGCAGGTTTACTTGTGGTTCCTAGAGTTTCCAAAAGCAGAATGGGAGGCAGAGCTTTCAGTTCTCAGGCTCCTCTCTTGTGGAACCAAATTCCAATTTCTGCCCATGAGACTGACACATTGTCCAGTTTTAAGATTAGGCTTAAGTCTTTCCTTTTTGATAAATTCTATAATTAGGGTTGGCTTGGGTTTCCTGAGCTTAGGCTTAGACTGCTGAAGGATAAACTGACCACATTTCCTCATTTTGCTTCTGTCTTACTTGCTCTACTCTACCTGTTTGTATTTGTAATTATTTCAGTCTTAATTTGTGTTGTTTTTTTTTGTCTTTCCTCGTATAGAAAGTAAACCTTGACCTGTCATTCTGTGTTTGTTTGTTTCTCCTTCTCAAACCCCAGCCATTTGAAGCAGATGGCCGCTCGTCCTGAGCCTGGTTCTGCTGGAGGTTTCTTCCTGTTAAATAGGAGTTTTTCCTTTCCACTGTTGTCTTTGTGTTCGCTCTGGATGGGAGACTGCGACAAAGTGAAGATTCAACACAATCTGCTGGCTTCCTTAGATATATAACACCAAAGTTCATGCTCAATAATCCAGGTAAAAATCCAACAATGTTCAGTCAGGTCATCTGGACGGTTTCTTATTTTGCTGAGACGTTTCGTCCTTCATCCAAGGACTTCTTAAATCTGAGGAGACACCAAACAAACTGGTGTCCACAAACAGCATACTCCATAGTGGAAATAAACAGTTTGCTGGTGCTAAGATGACCTCCAGTTATGGCTTCCGGTTAAAAGTTATCTTAGATAGTTAACTTTTACTATTTGGCTTTTATAATGTATGTGAATGTTTTTGTACAGTGTCCTGAGACAACTTATGTTGGGACTTGGTGCTATAGAAATAAACCTAATTGGGTGATGAACTATGGATGGATGATGGGTGATGGATGGATTCTTGACATCATCCTGTGCTTTGTCCATACTCACATAGAACAGCTCTCCATGGTCCATGTCAGATTCTGACTGAAAACTTTCAGCATCTAAAGAACCAGGAGATGTTCTATCATGGTTCCTCACCTTCAGACCAGCAGGTGAGGAGACCCATCCAGACAGCTGAGATATTCTTTTGTTGTGTCCCTTTTGTTAACCAAAGCTGTTAGAGGTCTACCTCACCACAGTCCTTGGACTAAAATGTCCTTTTGTTAGTCCCTTTAACTTTGATGACTCGCATGTCTCCAGCTGTTACTTTTCCAGAAACAAGAACTGCCACCCCCTTGTCCACAAACCTATCTGAGATCAGCTTATCACAAATGCAGAAACAGATAAATCAACAATGTCCTTCTGCACGTACTTTAATTTCAGATCCAAAGCTACTGCTCAGAACTAAAGACCTACCACCTAAATTTTTCACCTAGAAACCTTTTCTGCTACTTTGGTCCTTTGGTTAAGGATTGAGTTATGAGGCTTTCTTCTGTAAGGTCTAAGATCCCCTGTCTTCTTTTCATTAGTTTCTATATCTTTTATGGGGGTACAACCCACAAACCCATTAAAACTGGGACATCTTACGAAAGGGGGAACTTTGAAGGATCCAGTTCTGGATTCCTTCTTTGTGTGGGACTTTAAACATTTTTTTTCTGGGTTCTCATTGGTTCCCAGCTGTGGAGAGCTCCTATCACAACCTTGTCTTTCTTCAGCCCTGGTTCTCTGCCTCCTGCCTGTTTGTGGTCCTGGAGTCTGTCCTTATCTGGTCCGCCTACATATTCTGCAATTTAGTCCCTGCCAGATCCAGATCCTGACTCTGCAACAGTTAGAAGTCACACACAATGACTTCCAGACAGTTCTTCCAAACTGAGTTGTAAAATTTGTCTTCCTCAGGTCCCATGGAACCACCACAAACCACCACATGGATCACATAGACTACATGGACCATGGTGGCCACAAGGACCACATGGACCAAAGGGACCACATGAACTACACAGACCACAGAGATCATAGGGACCACATGGACCACAGGCACCACAGGGACCACATAAACTGAACTGAATTCAGGATTCAAATTTGATTCAAGTTTCAATGATTTCTGATAAATTTCTGAATATAATGTAAGATCTGTTAAATGTGTGTGTTGAGGACGACTGTCAGCGACTACCACACCAAACTTTTAGTCCTTCTCTGTAAAACTGACTCCGTAAATGATGAATGAGTCAATTCAATTCAATTCAGTTCATTTATATAGCGCCAAATCACAACAAAGTTGTCTCAGGGCACTTTACAGGAACATTCACATAAAAGCCAATTAGTAAAGTTCTCTATCTAAGGAATCCAGCAGACCAGTTGAATCTTGGCTTCGTTGCAGTCTCCCATCCTGAGCAAGCACAGTGGCAACAGTGGAAAGGAAAAACTCCCTTTTAAAGTCATCATTTATGTGTTCACTAATGTCAGTTAGCAAGGACAGCCATCTTGAATAAGGTTGACTTAAGACCAGGAAGCAGATTTACAGTATACATCAACATCCAGAGGAACCTCCGTCCGTCCAAGAGTTATAAAAAACAGCCAGCTGTTGTTTGGCAGAATGACTTCTAAAATTGTTTCACGAATAAATCCTATAATTTGGCATAAAATGAGAGGGAATTTAAAAACGGAGAGTTCTTACCGTTGTTTTTCTCGCTGTCAGCTGGTTTCATCTGGATGGGATGGTGCATCTGAACAAACAATAAAACACAAAATCACAAACATCCTTTAGAAAAACAAATGCCAGTCAAACAGGAAGCCACAAAGACAGACATGAAGTCAGTGTCCAGGTGTGCAACAAGGAAAAAGAGTTGATCAGAATGATTTTCGATATTAGCACCAGGACACTCTATATGTTGTAGATCTATGATTGACTTTAGTCGTCTCATCTGATATGTGGCGATTGTTTTGGACACTTGGGTGAGAGGAGCTGATCATGAACTGAATATTTCTTCATTCTGCTGCTGTCTTTACTTGCTCTACTCTACCTGTTTGTATTTGTAATTATTTCTATCTTAACATGTGTTTTTTGTCTTTCCTCCTATAGAAAGTACACCTGGACCTGTCATTCTGTGTTTGTCTGTTTCTACTTCCTGTCCTCTCAAACCCCAGCCAGTGGAAGCAGATGGCTTCTCATCCTGAGTCTGGTCCTGCTGGAGGTTTCTTCCTGTTAAATAGGAATTTTTCTTTTGATTCAACGCAATCTTTAACTTTATAAACTTTACTGTCCTTCAGAATTGTACAGTACACCATGCAAAATTGAAGGATTTTTTGTTTAATTTCTCCACATCAGTGTAGGAGTAAATAATTTACAAGAATTTTATAGACTTTGGTGTTTAGAACAGAAGATGCAATTCTGGTGCAGATACAAGGACTGTGCAAATGTTTGCAAATATATATATATATATATATATACATATATATATATATATATAC